CCCTACATGATACCTAATTGTTAATTGATTGTTCCCTAAAAATTAGTGAACAACAACACTGCATAATAGAGGGTATGTCCCTGTGCTGCCAGACACTGGCAATTACGGCACTTTGTTCTGTGTCTGAAGGTTCATGAAGGTTATCTCTGTCTTTCTGGTGGAGGGAGGTTCATCTGGCTGATGATACTTGTGAGATGGCTTGTGGGTGCACTTGACAGGTAGTACTTGAGCTGATACGTTTGGATGCTGCAAATTGTTCCCAAAGAGCCTGACTGTTGTAGGCCATGGAGAAATCTTTGTTAGGGGATGCTGCAGCCTGGGGAGAGGAGCAAAACTCAGGAGCTGTTAAAGCTGAGGGACTGGAGATCTGAGCTCTGTTCTGATGTTGGTGGCACAAATCTGTCTGGTCCTGGGCACAAAGCGTGGTTCTCTCCCATTCAACTCCCTTAGTACATGGAGCACAAGTGAGGTTGTCCGCACAGGTGGAGGACAGAGGGTTTGCCCGAAAGCTTGCCACAGGGGCTGTGCTGCCCTTTGACTGCTCCAGCCTGCAGGCAGGGTGTGTGTAGACAGCCCGGGTATCAAATCTTGCTGCACGGTATCAGCAGCGTGTGGCACCTTCTCCTGTGGCAGGCAGCCCTGGCCTCTGCCCTTCAGGAGAAGGAGGGGTTTCCAACAGCTGGCTGGCTGAGCTGATGTCTGTCCCGGCATCCTTCCGCAGCTGTCCTCCCCATAGCGCAGGGGAGGGACGAGTGAAGGGGGGGTACGGATGCTGCTGTTGGGAAATGCCATTTCTCTGTTGCTGGGCAATGCAATTTCCTGGTTCCTTCTGTACTCATCAGGCACAGATTATTTCTGCCTTCAGCTTTAATGAAGAAACGATGTCAAGAGACAGCAGTGGCAAACCCAATCTTGCATCATCACCTTGCAGGTACAAGCAAAAGCAGCTGTACCGCCACGCTAGTATTTAACTAGTCAGGGTCCTTTCAGAATAAATGCAGTGTGACTGAGCAGCAACTTCACCGTTTAAAGTGAAAATCAACACTTCCCAGCAGTGAGTAGATCATTAAACATTTTGTTGCATGAGCCAGCATCACTTTTCTAAAAAAAGGTGTCGGGATGTTCAGCCAAATGAGCAATTCGGCTGGCTTAACTTTCCTGACCGCTTTCTAATTTGGTTTTAATGAAGATATAATTAAGAGGTAATGTCAGTAGAGCAGAACATTGTCACAGGATAATGGTCTCCTGCTGCTGCATAAATGGTAAATGCAGTAAATACAGAAGGAAAGCCGGAATGTTTATTTTCAAAGCAGGAGGCATTGATCCTGGGACACTCTTCTGTTTTGATACCTTCATTTCCATTTTGTCAGAAGAACGAGGAGCAGCAGATTGAATCCGTTTTGGCCCCCTCCTGCTTGGCAGGAGTAGGAGGAGAACTCTCAAGGTGGCTCTGCTGCAGTGGGGACGCGCTGCTGCTGACGGCGGCTCAGGGGTTAGACTAGCAATTGCTCACTTTAACCTGATTGTCCCATGGCATTCGTGCCGCCATAGGGAATGCAGCAATTGTGCGCCTCAGTCAATCGGCGCTACAGAATAACTTGGCCATGATAGTACTGTTTATGAAAGCGAGTCTCCTTATGAAAGAAACAGGCCTTTTTATTTTTTGACTAGCTGGAGCTTATGATGTTCGTCTTTCCTGGTGAATAGCGTCTGTCTTCCAGCATTGCAATAGCAGAAATAAGGATTTTATGTTCCAGCACATATCGTTCACCTCCAATGCAATTCAGGCTGCAAAATTATTTCCATTCTGAACTTCAGTTCCCATTTTTCTTTTAAGTTTTGCGAAACTTCTTTAGGGAGAAATTCTCTTCCCAGGCATTTAAGCCAAGTAATAGCTTTAACCATTCCTTGCGTTATGAAGGCTGACAAGATATACTATCTCCTAAAGCTAAGACTGTTTTTTCAAGCAGAAAACTGCATGAAATAACTGCAAATGAGACTTATGCTAAAATATGTATAAATCTTGGAAGTTAAAACTTCCTGAGAAATTAGTACTAGTTGAAGAGAACTGCCTTTGTTCTGTCTGAAATATTTGGCTTTTTGAATTTGCAAACTAATGACAATTTAGAGCACAAAGAGTAAATCTTAAATCTTCCAGGGTGCCCGAGGAATAATGCCTCTTATATAGTGCTCTTCATCAATGGCTCACAAAGCATTTTATGCTGATCAGAATGAGGGCTAGCCAGATACGGGTTCATTAAAAAAATCCAAGGCTCTTACATTTCCATTCTGGAGGCAAACCTAGCCTTTCAAAAATGCTAATAAAAAATGAGTGACCATTACTACACCATATGTTAAGTACATCCAAGTTGAGGGGGATTTGCCTTCAATTCCGGAGTAGGCCTTGTATTTAAATGTCCCTTAACCACTGTGTTGCTTGCAGTCATTTTGCTCTTGCCTAGGGGAGATGCTCACACTGATGGGGATGAGATGGGCTCCATGGGTTTGTGGCCAAGCAGTTGGCTGGCAGATGGAAGTTGCAGTTCCGAATCCCCCTTTTGGCTCATGTAGGTTTGAGCTGAGTCTGTCGTCTTCTGCAAGAGGACATGCTGCCCCTTCATTCACCCCAGTGACATTGTGGAGGGCAGATGTTCTTCCTCTGCTTCTCCTTTGTGAATTACAACACTTACCAACTCCCTGTTGCCTTGTGTGAAGCACCAAGCAGTTGTTTTCCATTTACTCCTCCACAGCTGAGGTAGAGCGATCTCTCTGATGAAATGGGACATCTCCCTCTGGACCAGAGAAACTTGCCTGCCACACATAAATTGTTATGACAGATGCATTCCTAGGAAAGGCTTGTTTTGTCATATCGCTGTTTTACAGCCAGGAGAAATTATTTTACCAACCAACCAGCCCTCAAGTCAGCATCTTAGCATCATCTTCTCAGACAGGAAAGACAAGACATCATAAGCTAACGTGAAACCAATGGCAGATCTGGATGTAAGACACGAGTGCTCAGTGTCTTGAGCGCTCAGCACATTGCTTTACCCTTAATTGCAGAGAGAAATTGCAGTATTAAAAGCTGTGAGTGTTTTCAGAGATAATGATGTGAATTTGGAAGACTATATGAATATAAGTGTCATGGGGCTGCATTTACATCGGGGTCACCCCATCAGAATTTTGCTTATGGTATGTCATGCAGTTTTGTATCTCCACAAGCTGTGTCCCGTGCCGTCCTGTCATTTAGCTGTTGGTATGGCCCCAGGAAGCTGAAAAATCACATGCAGGAGTTGTAGTTGTGTAAAGTTATACTCGCATAGCCAAAGCAAATGTTAGAAATAGAAAGGTACCCAGAGTAACAGGGTCACTTCATCCTGAGCTGGCTCCTGCTGAGACACAGGTGAGGGCCAGCTCCCCCAAACTGAGCCACTCCTCCACCAGTTCTCTTTAAAAGCTCCTGGGGACAGAAGGAGGCTATCTTCTAGCTGGAAGCTGCTGGGAGGCCACTTATTTCCTTTCAAGAATATATCTCATGCAGTTTACCTACAGTGTTAGGAGCTGAAGGAAATACCACAGGACTTTCCTATGCTTCCTGGGGGGAGAGCATTGTGCTTTGGATGTTCTTTATACTCCTGGGTGAGGAAGCCATTCTCTTCCCCAAAAGATGGCCTCTGGCAGAGCCCTGGGGTGCAAGAGGGCCAACGTTCCTCCCTTTGAGGAGGCCATTTGCATCTTTTCCCAGCTGAGTGCGCCTTGCCCAGCTGAGGGGCAAGAGGATGGTGGATGCAGAGGAAGAAAGCTCTGCTGGATGCACGGTGTGAGTAGCAGGAGGGAGTCAGTGGCTGTAACGCAAAGGGCACCTGAGGTTACTTTTCCACTTTTCTCAGGACCCTGCAGAGAGGTGGCCATGGTGTACCTGGGGGCAAGCAGGGGGGAGCTGCAATGTCCCTGGTGCTGCAAGCACCGTGAGAGGTCCAGCAGCTCAGAGAGGTGCGAAAATGACCAGAGAGGTTGCCTGGGCCATCCTCAGCCACCCAGCCAAACCTTGGGGCTGCAGCAGGGATGGGAGCAGCCCTGGTCTTAGCACAGGTAGCAAGGGGCAAGCTCCTCTTCCTGGTCGCCAAACCCCTGTGCCTCCAGGATGTGCTCTCTGCTTCACTACGCCACCAAAGGGCTGTCACCAAAAGAGACTTATGGGGCTGTCTGCTGGAAAGTAAAGCTGAGGAGGGAAGAGCAAGGAGCAACGTATTTCCCTTTAAATGAATAGGGATCTCTCAAGATTTCCCCTTACCCTGTGGGAACATTTCACTTTCCAGTGAACAGCACTATAAATTTTACCTATTGGTAGAAGTAAAGATGTTATATGGTTGTCCAGGCTGAGCTATGATTGACTTAAAGTCTAACAAATCATTCCCTTTCTCTCCTCCCACTGGCCATTAACCACGCTACACACAGCACCCGCTTTGCCTTTAAAGATAACCAGGGTGGGAGGGAACAACTATCACCAGCACTTAATGAATGATTTTTGACCCATCCTGCTTGTCTATAAGGGCACAAGGAAAACAAGCAGAGCAGAAATCCTCTGGTGAGAAGCAGGCTGAGCTGTGCTCCAGAGCATCATGCCCGTGCTGTCAGGAGATGGACCACTCCATGGGAAGCTGAAGGGGCTGCTTCCTCAGTGAGGTGTGGGGTGCTGGAGGAAGGGATGAGGAGTCAATGGGAGCCTCACTATGAAGGGTTTTTTGCTGCAATGTTGCATGTTGTGATGGAGGAGACACAGTGGAGTATTTCCAGCGAGAGATGGTGCATTTGTACCAAATCAGTATGCATGCTGTTTTCTCTGTTGGAATATTGTCGTTGTCCTTTATTACATTAAAGGGGAACATCTTTATCTCATGGTGATTTGGGTGGGATGTGACATCGCCTAATGTAAAAAGGGCCTGTAATATCAAGGAGACAACCGTGAAATAACGCATTACACACTAAATTGAACAGCAGGCTCATTTACATTCCTTTAATTTGGAAATATGAACATTCAGAAACTCTCTTCTCCACTTGCATTCCCTTATTTGGGAAACATGTAAATTACATTTATGATAATTTAGTATTTAACTGGTACAAGCATTGCAAATTCCAGAAGCAAACCTTTCAAAATAGACAGGAGCTGTGCCAGCTTCCTTTGCAAACGTGTGTGGTAAAAGCCACCTCTGCGGATGACTCCGAATGCAGCATCTCCAGCTTCTGGACCTGATCTTGCAAGTGCTTGTAAAGCAGATGGGATGGCTGGGGTGAGGCTTGTAGAGCTGGACCTTTTGTCCCAATCATGGTGTAGGCTTATCGCGTGTGGCAGATGGATTTAATTTATAAACTGAGTGCATCGCCTCTTCTGTTGTGTGTGGAGTAGTTTTTTTGCAGCCTATGAGCAGAACCACAGATGAAAACAATGGCAAAGGACCTTTTGGATCAGCCATGCTTGAACGATGCTGAGATGCCTTTTCTACAATGGTCCCACTGCTACATTTTCCAGTCTCCCCTCGGAAACCTTCTGCCGATAGCGACTCGTGTTCAGTTGCTCACCAGACAGCTTATTCGATTGCCTGTGTAATAGCCCTTATTATTAAGTCATTTCTCTTGTATCTAAATGGGATTGTTCCACTTTTAATTCAAGACCCTTCTACCATCTCTGCTGCAGGGAAGGTCCGTCCTAATAGCTCACAAATACTAGTGTTCCTCCCAGCGTTAGCTGGGGCTCCCTCCTGCCCTGCAAATTGCTTTCCATCACACCCGTCACACGCAGTTCCCTTCACCCTTCCCCCTGCCCATCCTTAAGTCCCCGACCACTTTCCAGTGTCCTTTTTAGAAAGTGAGGCTTAAAAATGCTTGCCCTGCTCTGGCTCCAGCCTTGCCCAGACTGCATAATGCTGCACTCATCACTCCCTTTTTGTCACATGGCAGATCCCACTTTATGCTCTACACCTTGGGAGAGTGATCGCCCTCCTCCCAGTGTGAGCTCTTGAGCTCTTCATTACCCACTACAGCCCCAAGGTCTTTTCTATATTAATCTTTTCTAAATATCTGTGCTGATTGTTGTTATTTCTCTCCAGGTGCATTAATGTCACACTCATCAATATTAGATAAATTTTATTTTGTTGACATCTTCCCGTGACTCAGGGCCTGGCAGATAATTCTGCAATGAGGATTTACTGTCCCTTTTCACCTATTCATTTTATATTTTATTTCTTTCAATGCTATCAAGGTTAAACATAGTTTTGCCTCATGTAGATCAAATGTCTGGAGTACAGAGGGGAGTAAAAATATTTGGATAAATAATGGAAAGCTGAAAGTGGGATTTTTTTAGAAAAGCAAGAAAAATATATTCTTTTCTTGTAAAGCATAAGGCTTGTATTTAAAATTTCCACCTTGCCCAAATTTGATTAAAAAAAAAAAGAGGTAAAGAGAAAAAATATAACATCATCTTAAAAAAAAAGTTAGAAACCTTTGTCAGACCTGAACTTTTATGTGAGCATTTTTGTCTGAGTTATACAGCTTTTCCTACAGAAACTTGCAGAAATCAAAGAGAAAGCAGTAGTTGAGGGGAATCCCACCTGCAAGAAGGAAGGCACAATGAAGTAGGGGTCTAGTTAAATGAAGAAAGACCTCATTGCTCAGAGACCCAAGTAACTGGGCTGAGGTCAGAGGAGCAAATGAAGATCTCATGCCTATTTCTCAGCCATGGTCACTTTACAAATCATGTCTCATGCACTGTGCACTGATGCCCTACCAAAACAAGCCCCTGCCAGTGCATGAAGATGTAAGAAGCTCTGGGTATATGTCTATTAAGAGCTGCCGGTGCTCCTGAAATGGCATCAAGCTGTGTCTGCTTTTTGGCACTAAAATAAGCCTGACATTTTATGGAGATCCAAAGACAACACCATTTGACATTCCCAGTGGATGGCTAGCTCCCAGATACCATTACCAACTCATGGCAAATAATTTGAAGTTTTGTTAACCTTCTTAGTACATCTGCCTTGCACCTGCATTGCTCACTCCCAATGGGTTTGAGGAACATTGGCTTAAGGTTAGCCCTGAAGCAAAGATGGGTTCGGGAGAGGAACCCAAACAGGACTCCTTGATTACATGAGATTTGCTCTGACAGATTCATTTTCAGTAATTGTATCTTCACACCTGATTTAGGGCTCCTCAGCAGACAGCATTGGAAGCTGATTTCTTTGAAAGTAAATACCTAGCAGCCAGGACTGTAACAGATGTTATGGATGGGACCAGTAATTCACTTAACTGTGTCTGAAAACCCCTCTTTTCTATACATTTCTCCTCAATATTCTCCTGGGCAATCACTAGCCCTACTAAATTTGTGGTTCTCATTTAATTCCCTGACATGTTCTTATTTTTTAAAGCTTTATTTTCAGCTATTGAAGTGCAAGAAATTGCTTTTGGCCTCAAGCCCTGCTTTCTAGAGAGGCAACGAGAGATTCCACTCCCGGTAAGTGGACAGGAATTTTCTCCCTTTCTGCTTTGGTGTGAATGGCTGTGAGGGCATTTCTCAGCCCACCTGCACATTTCCACACTGGTCTGTGCTCCTGGTGGATGCAAAACCTTCTCCTGCTCTCTCAGTGGAGGGCACAATATTCATACCAAGCCGCTGTGATAAAGCAGAAACTTTTTTTGAGATGAAAGCCTTGGTTTTAGGCACAGTCAACATAGCCCTCTGCCCTCAGGCTTCTTAATGTATCTCTCTCTGTAAAACCACTACCCAGCAAGCAGTTAGTTACAGCATGGGTAGACTGTCTTCAAGAAATGAGTGGAGCCCAGATCTCCTGGCCCAGGGATAAGGAGGGCAAGTGGGACCTGTGCTGAGACCGAGTCCCCCTGGAGAGCACATGGTGGGGCAAGAGGCATCTCTTAGCTGCGGCAGGTCAGACTGCCATGGAGGGGCATGGACAGCAGGTGGGACCCCACGGAGGGGTTGCCCCATGGCACAACCCCCTGTCATAGAATCATAGAATCATTTAGTTTGGAAAAGACCTCTAAGATCATAGAGTCCAACCATGAAGAGGGGCTAAGTGGCAAGTACCATTCTGAAAAATGTTGTCGAACTAAGTCTGTAACCGTGGACCCATTTAGATGGCACAGCTGGGGCTTCCAGTCATTTCCCATCTTGAACTGCCACATCTGTTCCAAGCTTAGCTGAAGCCCTGAGGTCACATCTGAAATACTGCTTCCTTTCACAGCCTTTGAAACATCTTTATCACCCAAATCAAAGGATAAGTTGAACAAAAGTAAGATTTGAGAGCAATTTCAACCGGATTGCATTCTATAACATCTTTATAAACACAAACTTATGTTTAGGTGCTATGTTGAATTGGTGTTCCAGAAACACCACAGTCTGTGAGCTGTCACCTAGCTGTTGGTTACATGGGGCTTCTCCCCATGTTTTAAAACTTCTTCCTGATTTGTCTTTGGGTTTACATCAGTGGCTCTCCCCAGGCAGGGGGACCAGGCTGCAGGGGGTCAGGGTGAGGTGACAGCCCTGGCAGGAGTCACCCAGTGGGCATCAAAGAGTGGCATCCTCTTTGGAAACAGGTCTGCAGTCATCCAGCCCATGGCATTGCTGAGGTTAAAAGGTAAGTGCTTTGGATGGCACCTCTCCGAGGGGGAATGTAGATGCAAGCGTAGATGCCATGCACAAGTACTCATTCTTTTCATGGCATTACATCAGAAATGTTGCTGAAATCATTACAAATTATGTTTGCTGTATAATCTTTTTTTCCTTTACCTAGTCTATAATTACAACACCTCCAAAAAAAAAGGTGTATTGGATTTTTCTGTCATGATCTATGTTTAGGGCTTGGCAGGATTCAATTTTAATTTCAACTTCAATGATAACATTTTATTACACATGTTCTTTATTTATAGTTACTCACTGCTTATTTATACTGATGTAAATATCTTTCGACCTGCATCCAGAAAAGTACTATTATCATTGGTTGAAAGAAAAGCATCCTCCCTCTTTTGAATAGCTGGTGTGATTTCAGACAGATGGGGTCTACAAATTCATCTACATCACAAAATTTAGCCCTTAATCTAGACAGAAAAGAAATGACAAATACATTACAAAACTCTTACTGACAGAGCCTGTCCACACTTTGTTTTCTTGGAATACTGCACAAGGTGACAACATGATTCACGAGTGACATTCAATGTGACTTTGGACAAGCTAGAAAAGGCTCTTTTTTGGGGGGGTGTGGGGCGGGGAGAAATAGTTTGTGCTATTAAAAACAGAGTTGAGCTGAGAAAAGAAAAACATTGTTTTAAGTATTTTGTGCATTTAGATAACCCAAGAAGATCCCATATGGAATATGAGCAAGTGCTAACCGAAAGATCATTAATCAAGTAATACGCCTACTGGAAACAAAACCCACAACAGCTTAGAGAAAACAGACAAAAAGTTAGTCCATGATTAAATACATAAGTGGATTTCAGTGCTGGAGCACCCTGTTTCAGAAAGGAAGTAACATGTGACTGTGGACAGCCATGGATCAGGCATCTCATCATCCAGCTCCTCAGGACCCCGAGATCAATCAGCTGATACCCAACCAGTGGAAAAAGTTTCCTGAATCAGGGCTGCTTGCTGGAAAGAGAAATTACAGGAGTGCCCACCAGGAGGAAACCTCTGGTTTGTCCAGGAGAATTAAGCCTCAAGTCTGCAGAGTCCGTGTGGGCACAGAGACTGGGTTTCCACTGACTCCTGTCAAGCTGAAGGATTCACCTGCACAGGAAAGTGGTAGGATGGTGGGCATGTCTTCTCCATTCCCCCACCTCAATGGCCACCTCCCTCCCGAGGTACCGACCAGAGAACTTCTCCACCTTCTGCCCACGAGCATGGCTGGGCAAAGAGGTGTTGCTGGGATCTCTTGTTTTTGTTCAGTAATGCTGAAATGTGAGAAATATCATGGCAAAATTTTCATCTGCAAAGGGAAATGCTTAATTTTAAAAGAATAACATAGAATAATTGGTCCCCACATGCAGGAAACATGGGAGTTATCGGTTCAGAGGTGCAAAGAGGGACAATGGGAGCTGACTGCTCCCATCTTGATGCCGGTAGTTTTTGCTAAGTGGTTTGGCAGAGCAAATCAAAAAAGCCAAGCCTATAGCTTTTTTCTGTTGCCACCCTAATAATCGTAAGTGCTCTGAGGAAATCGCTACTCAGCATTTTACCCAAAGTATTTGTGGAACAGGCCTTAAGAATTATTGATAGTAAGAAACTTAACAGATATTAATGAGCATTTTCCCCAAGCTAACGTATCACCAGAGAATTTACTAGTCCTAATGTGCACTAAATTTGAAAAGTACAATTTTAATTCCATCCTAGAGAGTATTTAAATCTTAAAGAAAATTACCGACTAACTAAATAGGGGATCTGAAATACAATTGTCAGAGCTGAAATCTTCTTTACCTCCCCACACAAAACCAACCAAGTTCATCAATCTCAAAGTTTTTCTTCAATACTTCATTGCCAGGCACTGTTTTCAAATTCAGGTGAAGGGTAAAACCAAAATCAACACTAAATAAATCATTAAAAACTCTGTGTAGTAAATAAGAAAGGCATTAGATCAGACTAGGCTCTTGATTTATGCCAGAGATGCAGCCGTGCAGCAGTATGAGAGAGCAGAGTGCTTCAGGACCTGTCTAACAAGATGTTATGTTTTTCCACATGCAATGAACAGCTATATATCAATGCAGAGGACAAAACAATCCTTCAAACACTCCTCACTTTACAGGTGTGGCACAGATGCCCTGTTGATGAAGTTCAGTTCTTGGCTAGGTCCAAATGAATAGGGTTGTTTGGTCTGCCCTAAAATTTGGCGTATCTCACAGAGGGAAGGAGGCAGAAGGTGTGGGCTGGGAGAAGCAGACATCAGTTTGAGGAGAAGGTTCTCCCTGTAACAGCTGCTCTTTTAGCATCGTGTGAACGGGTGAATAAGTACAGATGTGTGCGAAGATCTGGGAAACAATCCTGAATAAGCTCAGTCTCTCAGCACGTACTCTGCAGTGTCTTGACATCGGTTCACCTTTGATGATGCAAGACTGGCAGCGATCCTCAGGAAAGCATCTGGCTGCCTTGGTAGGTAAATGAGTAGCAGCTGGAAAAAAAAATTGAGTTCACGCAGGGACAGAGGCATTGAAGGGCTTTCTGAGCTATTGATTTTTGCATGTGCTCAAGGGAGCACAATGGGGAAACAGATTTTGTGTCAGCTCAGGTTACCCAGAAATTTCTGTAATTTGCCATCCAGCCCAGTTGCTAGATTGATTGAACCTGGTTAACACCGCTTAATAACCAGCGCAAACGATCTTTGAAGCAAATTATTAAATGTTCAAGAAAAACCTGCTCCAAATCCTTGCTAAAGGGATTTGTGTCTTCAGTTGCTACACAAAACATTTTGTGTGACTACTGAGATGTATAATAGGAGAAAAGCAGCGCTGACTGTCAGCTAGGATGGCAATTGTGGTTACATGGCCCAGCTATGTGGCCCTTTCTACAGGTGAGTGTCATGTGTCCAGCGGGGTGCTGGGCTTCCTCTTGCCTAATTGTCCCCCTCTGCCCCCTGCATGGCTGGACCTCAGGTGCCCTGAGACATTCAGCCATTGGGTGGGAAGAGGACACAGCTCACAGCTCCTCTTCCCCTCATATCCCACAAGTTTTTTTGCTCCTGTCCAACGTCCTTCTCTTTATACAGCCATTGTAGTTAATTTAATTTTGCAAGAACACCATATTAACATTTCCTTGCAAGCACATAGAGCCAACACACGCATTGTGCTCGCTCGGGGACCATACCTGCTCCCTTGCTGATGTCTTGGAATCAAAGTTCCTCCCAGAATACTCTATATGGAGGTGAGGGGTGCAAATTGGCAGTTAATAGCCCTTTTCACAGCAGTCTCCAAGACACCTCTGCCCCCAGAGCCAATTCAAAACACAGCTCTGCCTCTTCCTGTGTAGGTCTCCCAGCTGATCACTCAGCTTTAATCATTAGGACCTGATTGCTTCAGGAAAGATGAATGCATTGCCGGGGCTTTTTTGCGTCCTGTTGTTCATAAATCACTGTTCTTGTCACACAATAACTGTAATTATTACTTTTCTGGACCTTTGGCTGATTGTCTTAGCAGAAGAGAAAAAAAAGCAGCAGAAAAGGGAGGGTGCAAAATCAGACATCTTGGAAATAACAATAACCTCTTGCTATTAGAATTATTCCCTTTAGGTCAGAGCCCATATGTACACACACATGCACATGTTGCTTCTTCTACTCCACAGTGCCTTGGATAGTTTGTCTAGTTTTAAATTGGCCAAAGTAGATGAAGGCTGGCAGAAGGTTATTTTTAATCTGCTAATGTGTTATGGGAGACTGTTCCAGCAATGAAGCATAGAAGGAGAGGGAAGGCAGAGGGAAAATGTAAAATAAGTTTGTTTGAACTAAAGGAGCACATGATGTGAGAATTTCAAAGCTCCTGGTACCAGATTATTCCGGTAGGGAAAAAAAAAAAAAGAACTTTTTTTTTTTTCTTATTCCCTGACAGGACATGTCCCTGTGTACAACACAGGAGTCTTGGCTTGACTGAGTCTGTGGTGAAGGGATTAGGGAGAGCCTCATTATTGAAATTTTCCAGAAAGCTCCTGGCTGGTTCCGTAGCTCAGCATAACAAGGAGTGTCACCACTAATACACACAGGAGCTAGGGATTTTGCACCACACTGTTAGCCTGCCTGACCCTAGGAGATGGTGTGACCTGACCAGATGGGCAATAAGAGGACAACCTCTTCCCTGGACAGCTGACAGGTCCCTGCTATTTCCGCTCCTTCGCCTTCAAAATATCAATTTACTCCTGCTTCTCATGCTTACTATGTCTTTTTTTCCTTTTTTTCTTCACTTTTTATATAAGCACATCCTTAGCAATTCAAGACAGGTCCAGCTATGGTTAATTTGTCGTGGAGAGAATAATATAAAACAGAGCAGTGCTGGGGAAACAAACAACCCAGTGCAAAGCCTGACCCTAATTGATTGATGAAAGGAAAATTAGGGCTGCCTCAAGAAACGATTTCCATAGCAATGAAAATAGAGAGGAAGCTGTGCCATGAATCACGGGTGACCCAAAGCAGCTCTTTGGCCCCTGAGGTGCCGGCCAGCTTGCCCGGGGCTCCTGCCAGCAGCCGGTGGTGGATGCACCACGTTAGCAAGGGACTGGGAGGGCTCTCCCACTGACCAGACCCTTGGGGCCGGGCATTGCACTGGCTGTGTCCATGGCCAAGCCCAGTTAGGGGCCTGCAAGCTGTACTGCGGGATGGAGATAAGCTTCCAGCCCCCAGCCTGCCTTCCCCCCCAGAAAAAAGGCAGATGCCATGTTTTGTCATTTTTTCTCTTCCCTTTGCATTTCTTTTTAGGTAAGAAACAAGATTGTGCCTCAGCCTAAGTACTGATTGCTATCACTTCAAACAGACTGACTTTCTTTTATTTTCTGTGTAACAGAATCATCCAGGAGACTTCCTAGCAAGAGTTTTTTCCCCTTCAGAAAAAGCTCTGCAGGTGTCGTGGGTAATAGGGGCACACCGGCAATTATTAAGTCTGCATTCTTCATTTTTGATGGCTAAAGTTACTTGCTTCAAAAATGTCTAATGATATGGGGTATATCTAAAATTTTATTTGCTTTATTGGAGATGTCTTAAGGAAGGCTTGATCTCTGGGAAGGAAGCCCACTGCAGGAGTCTCAGGGTGGGAAACTGCAGTCTCCCATGCTTACAGTTGTTTTTGAAAACCTTGGTCATGCATCATGTGTGTGTTTAGCAAATCTGTATGCACCTTTTTTTTTTTCTTCCCCAGGCAAGCCAGAAAAAGCAAACTCAAGTTCCTGGCAGCTAAATCATGAACAAATGTTACTCTTAATTTGGTGTAGTACAAAATTAACAGTTTACATATCATAACATCCCTTAAAGAAAAAACAGCTCAAAGAGCAAAAAAAACCCTAATTCTGGACTTGAACCTTGAAAAAACAAATTAATCCATTTTCATAGATGTCAACTGGGCACATCTTCCCTGAGCTGTGCGTTTACCAAGGCTTAATTCCCACTGTGTGATGGCTTGCTGCTGATGCGAATTCGGCACCTAGATAGGAGGAGCCACCTCTCAGCATATGGTGCTGTAGCTGCCTTCACTTTCAAGCTTTAAACCCAGACCCATTTCAAAGCCAGAATGTATATTGCTGCTTTTGGAGATATTTTTGTTGCCAGCTATGACCACAACTGCACCAGAAGAAAAGAGAGGCAAGGCTGACGTGATTTCCTCCATGCTGCCTTTGCCTGGCTCACCTTTTTCAGCAGTCGTTCCTGAAGTAAGTGGAAAGACCAGTCACTAAACAGTCTCTCTCATAATGAGTGGCTTCTTCGTTATTTTCATTTGGGACTAGAACACTGAAGAACATATAGAAGAAACTGCCTGAAGGATAATAGTCTGAAGAAAGAAAGAGAAAAATACAGTTATGGCACGCAATGCACTAATTGACCTGGAAGACAGATTTGTCTCAAAGCAACATCACATATTTTTATTTGCTTGAACTTATGGAAATAAATCTTTTCAACACGGCTTTTCAGGGCAGACAGAAGTTAGCAGGCTCCGAGGAGCATACATATTTCAGGAATGTGGAAGAAGTTAAAAAGCGTGTTTATCCGTGACACAACTTAAGGGACAAAAGCAAACTGGAAGGAAAGGGAATAACTGGAAATAGAGTGGTGTTGAGGATGAAGCTGGTCATTCCACTGCTTGGCAAAGATTTTGGCATTTTTGCTAGATACCCTTTAAAAAGCATCTGCTTTCTGAGGAAAACTGGAGCTTTCTATTGAAAAGCTACTGAAGTATTGCTATGTTTGGCACATTTTCTGAAATTCAGCTAGTGTAGAAATTAAAATTTGCCAGGGAAGGAAAAAACCCTCTGTTGTTGATGTTGCTGTTGACAAGTTTTAGTAAGAAATCTCTTCTTACCTACCTTCATTGGGGAATGAAAAGCTTGCACTTGATGCAGAGCTAGAGAAAAGACAAACAAGGAAAATGACAAAATTAGACAACTCAAAGCATCCTGATTTGTTTTTTATCTACTCGTTGGTACTTTCTCTTCTTAGCTTCTTGTCTATTTTTTTCCTCCTTGTCAGGGCTCTTCTTTTAGGCTATCACGTTTTTTTTGTACAGAGATCACTACTGAGTTTTCACACAGGTTAGCATTTTGTGGGCTTGACTGGCAGAGGGTTAGGGGTTACAGCTTATGCCAGTCACTGCAGACAGACAGCTAGAAGGAAAGGTCATCTGTGCAACCCTTTGCTATAGTAAACAGCAGGGGAGCCCGAACAAGAAGGCTGAAATATTTGGTGTAAAAAGAAAGTGAGCAGAGCCGTTGCTGGAAAATAGAATTGGACAAAGAACCAGCTGAAAACCATCACAACCAGCCCTCCCGCTGCCTGTCTGAGCAGTTGGACAGGTCCTGGAAAGTGTTGTTGCTGAAGGTTGGTGGTTTTGCTATGTGCTGTTTCTAGCACCACCTTACAGTCTTATGTGCCATCAACCCTGAGGCAAGGCTACATATCTGCAAGATAAACTTGAGCAGTCCTCCTCAGCTTAAATTCAAGCACTTGCTTTATGACCTTAGTAGGTATTGATTGGCAAGGCCCTGGTTCCCCATTCACATCTATTTACAGGGAAGGCAGGATGCACAGATGGAAGTGACATCGTTTCTGGAGAAATCAGGGCTGATAGGGTAAGGACAGGACAGATCTGATATCAGAGTGTCAGCTAGAGACAGGGGCTGATGCCTCTAGGGTGGCATTTTAAATATACTCTTACATGGTTTATTTGCAAAGAATGAACATAATGGTGCTCCAAGAGATGAGGAACTCCACCTGCTCTAGAGATGTAGCTATAGCAACCTCCACACGATTACATTGCTAATCCGCAGGTGTTGAAGAGGCATAGATAGATGCTGTTGAGTAATTCAGCTCCAAATAGATACTTTGATCTGAATAACAGCTTGCATGTATGTCCCAAATATGGATCATTTCCAGTTCTGCAATTCTGCCTTATAAAAGCAAAATTCCCATTCTTTATTTTCTATTGGGAGTCTTAAAACTTGCCTGTGCTATCTAACAAGCTAGAAAGCTCCATTACTTTTGGGTGAGGCGGGAGTCAGGGAAAAGACAACCTTTTCATCGCCAAAAATATCTAAAGTATTTCTTGCATGTTTTATCTGAGTGACTCTTCAACGTGAAGAAAATCAAACAAAAGCGAACACTTGTTCTACTTTCCTGTATACATGACGTACTGATGAATCAATTGCATCTTCACATTAAAGACAGTCTATTTCACTGCAGACACTGGCGACAGTTTCTGAACATGTACCAGATCAGATCATGCTTCATTAGCAGCCTGAACACTGTTGAAAACATCAAGCTAACGTCTGTCCTGCTTTGCTCTCCATGAGGTGTCATTGAACTTGGTGGGGATGCCTGGGATGCAAGTCAAGGCAGAATATGGCTCATCATCAAGCAGCTCCAAAAGAACCTGAACCTTTGATAAGCAAAATCTGCAATTCACTGTTTCAATAAAAGGAAAGGCTTCAACAGCTCCAAGAGAAAAATGACCCTTCATTGTATACCTTGCTAATCTGCTGGAGCACTCCTTTAGGAGGGTAGTTCAGTCACACACTCATCATTTCATGAAAGCTAGTTAAGGACATTTGATGAAGCTTCTGAAGTCTGTATTGTATGCCCCTTTCCTTCTCTCCTTTCCATCCTTTATTTCTTTGCCAACTGAACATCCTACAGCCCAGTCGCTCCCCTCACTTCCTGAAGCAGCCTACACTGCCCTGTCTCCCGCCCTCGCTCCATTTATTTCTTTGCAGGCTGCTGCGTAATCACCTTATTTATTTATCTGAATGACTTTGCTGTATTAAAGAACCACAAGTCAAAACAGAAAAGCCATTTGAAATACCTCTATGCTTGCAAAAATCAGCGGTCAAAGTCAGATGCCTTGCCTTTTGCATGAATTGCACACACGTGACAGTGCAGTGGGTCGTGGTGCAACCACTGTTTTTTCCATGGGACCCTGCCTTGGACCTTGCTCAGGGTGCAGCTCTTCCAGCAGCTCTTCCAGCTCTTCCCGAAATCAGACATTCCTCATTCTGCCCCTAAGCTCCCTGTCCTGCTGCCTGCCTGCTGGTTTTGTTTTCATCCCTGCCTCTGCCACACTGACCTCCCTGTCCACTTCTTGATCTCTTTCTGTCCTAGTTTGAGGTAAAGCAGAACCATTTTTCTTTTCAACAATTTTACTTTTCAGTTAAGCCTCTTCCAATTCTCTGAAATTAACAGCCTATTTTTCAGACAGTGTCAGCTTCTAGCAGATAAGGTCTGATGTTTATAGCGATTACTGAGGAACAGTCTGCAGAGAGGCTCCTGCTTATAATTACTGCTGCAACAACCAAGATCAGCTAACCAAGATGCACCAACTTGGAAGATCAGAAGCAGAAAAGTGCAGAGAGATCACACCTGTGGGGAGGAATGGACAGGACAGGTGACAGAAAACTGACCAACAGGATATTCCATCCCATCTTCATCATGCACAGTATAAAACCTGAGGGATCAAAGGCTCAGCCTCTTTCTTCAATGGCCAACATCCAAGGAGGACTCTCTGTTCGTCTGCCTTTGATTCGTGTATTCCTGAATCTAGTTCCTGAGTTCAGCTCCCATCCGTCGCTGAGTCCAGTCTGAGACTTACCCAGTGCCTGCCAGTGATGGGATCATCATCTTGGGAGCTCGATATTGTTTTGTATATATTGTATGTATTTCATTATTTTCTTATTAACACTATTATCTTTTCTTTTTATTATTTTATTATCAATATTTAGTTTAGTTTCTTTTTCTTTTTTCTCTCTTCCTTTCATTACCTCTCCTCTCCCTTCTCTGAAGGGGAGAGAAGTAAAAGAGAGCATCTGCGGTTCATTCAGCGGCCAGTCCAGCCCAAACCACAACACCTTCATTTCATGACAGCCCCAGCCCCCTTGCACCCACCACCTGGGCCACCAGGAGCCACCAGGCTCCTCCACCTCCTACCCTCTCTGGGACATTTTAGACTCTTTGTCCGTGGCACTTGTGTTTCTTCCTTTGTGTTTCCCATCACTGTGTGGCACCAGCCATGGGGGCAACCCACCCCTCACAGGGCTAGGGGACAGTTGGAGGAGGCAATTAGAGCATCTCTCTTGGCTACCAAGGTGAAGCAGCGCTTTGGCCTTTGATGCCTTGATCTCGGGCAACCAGCAAGCTCAAGCCTTGTGTGTTAAACAGATCGGTCCTGCCTGGTTACCTTCTATCAACCACGCTTCATATGTCAGGTGAAGTCTGAAATCACAAACCCCTTCTCTGTAAGGCCGTAATAATTATAATCCCACCTTCTAATTCTTTATTAATTATATCTTCTCTCAATTTGTCCATTACTTTGCCTGGGATGGCTATCAAGTGAACTGGACTATATTTAACTGTGTGGTTTCATTTTTCCTGGAATTTTTACACAATATTGACATTGACCTTTGAGGATTTACCCATTATCTCATGACTTATTAAAAATTTACACACACAAGCTAAAAATATCCTGCATTGACTCTTGGAGGCCCCTTTTGTGGACCTTCAGATTTCAAAAATGGTTAACCCTACTGCAAGTTGTTCAAGATTTTTCTTAATTAGTAATATGTCAGAAAATACATTATTACAAATAGAGAGCAGAAATAATTGTTGAACAGTTTGGGGTTTTTCTTCATTGATATTAATGAATTGGCTGTCTTCAGCTGCTCGTGAGACTATGACACTGATAGGTTTTCTGCTACTATTTGTAAGTTTTCAAGAAACTCTTTTTCTTAAACAAAGCCTGACCAGCCATGGATGTTTTTTCTGATGTCATTAGTATCCTTTATCAATTTTCTACACTTTATAAACTCTTATTTATATGGATTTTTATTGCCTCCCCCTTTTTCCCATATGTTGCATATTGCTTTTTAATTCATTATTCCTGCCTTCATTCTTCCACTGAAGGAGAATGGGCTTTTCACCAATATTATGCAGCTCCTTTAGTGTGAAGTAATGGCTTTTTGGCCATTTAATATGTTCTTCCTCCTAATAATTTTTTTACACTCAGTTTCACTTGTAACTTCTCTCAGTTTGGGAAACTAGTTCCTTTAAGTACCAAGCTACGCAGTACTTGGAGTTACACAGCTTGTCGGGACAGCAATGGCAGATGTTCCTAGGTGGCCTGTGCTTTCTGCTTTGGCACGGTTTTCCTTGCCACACAGCCCAGTGCCACAGGAGGACACCAGTCTGAAGCCGGACTGGGTCTCTCTCACCTCTCTAAAGGACACCAGTTTGGTTTCACAGGCAGGTACAGTTTATGAAGCAGTTCCCAGGCAGTGGAGATTTGCTGCCTCCAAGATGTCTGCTGTCCCCAGATGGTGGAGAATGTGCCACTCTTACAGCCTGTGTGCTGCCCAAACAGCTTTTATCCACTGCTTTTAACACTGCCTTCGTACCAAGTCTTCCAGGTGGTTTCAGTAGGCCAGTTAGATCTGTTTACTTCCCATCAGTGATTATTTTCAGTTCCTCCTGCTTGCTACCCAAACTCTTCATGTCAGTCTATAAATCCATGGAAAACACGGGCTTTGGTGATGGTTGAGATGGAAGAGGGTCTCTGGCCACAGAGGAGCCCCCGATCCACATAACCACCATGAGAGCCGGAGGCTCAGAGGGAGGAAGAGGCTGGCTCGGAGGTCAGGCAGAGCAGAGTCCAACTGAACTCTCCGTCTTAATCCTCTGCCTCGACTGCAAGACTTATCTTTTCTCCCGAATTGCTTCTGAGCTGTATTGCTCCCAGATGTGCAGAAGTGTTTTTTGTGAGCCCAAATAGCCTCTCAGTTATCTAGTTGAGAGGGAAATGTCATATATTGCTGAAGGAAAACCTTAACTTTCTCCCTGTATGTGCATGTTAGCCCATAGCAG